ATTGATTCTGTGTGTGTAATATTTTGACAAATTCAGTATGGACACATGGAAGCCTCCGGATACACGATTTTAGACGGTGGGAGACAAGAAAGGAAATAACGCTAAAGGCATAGTTTTTTATTTTAGTAATCCGTGGCATTGTGTTGTGATTTTAACCTTGGGGCCACAAACGGCTACCTCTTCGCGCTTCATTGTCGTAAACGCGGCGCGGATTACTGTAACAGAAAACCATGCCATTAGCATTATTTCCTTTCTTGTCGGTGGGACCCATGTTGTGTCCATTGCGTTCTAAGCATGACGCTGTCTTAAATTGCTGCATTCAGTGTGTCAAGCAATCTGAAAATTGATTCCCAGTGAAAACGCTGCAGAAGTTAATGGTGGCATCGCCTTGATCCAAGGTTTCAGACAGCTAAAAAATGCACGCTTTCGTGAAGGTATTTTGAAAGCACACAGTAGGTCTATCCGCCTCGGACAATCGCATCGCAGTTGAATACTATTAACTAGAGTCATGCAAAGCATATGACAAAAGCTGCACACTTTTTAAATAGAGCATAGATCCGCATAGCAAAAAAATGAGTTGCTGTCGTTTTGAAGCCATGTACAATGTTTGATTATATCATCAGCTCCATATGCAAGCCTACAAAGTTGTCTGTTCGCTATCTTGGGAAAGGTTATAATGAGATTATGTCAATGCTCATATGAGCAAATGATCCGTAGCCCTAGTGTATGGAGTTCAAAGTTCAATGCGGTGAATTCGTGTTTTATCAGAAGTAAATAAATTGAGAAAACCTCGCTTCAATCTATTGCTCATCTCCAGAATCTCATATTGAACCTCAGGTTATCGCAGTTCGTATATTTTTAAAGCTTAAAAACTCTATAGGGCGGTCTACATGAAGTGTGACGCACAAAAATTCCCATAAATTTGCACCAGTCAGTCCAAATAAGAATAATCTTTTATTACATAGCTAGAAGTATGCAAATAACAGAAAATATCGCATTCAAAATGGGCACCTTTAGCTTCGATACAAGCATGTAATCTCTTTTTGAAATTTTTGAGGATGCGCGATCATTTACGGCGAAATTTCATCCCATGCTTTCTTCAGAGCTCTATTCAGTGAATTCAGTGACTTATGTTTAAAAGAGCAGGCTTTTTGCTCCAAAATTGACCAGACAGCAAAATTCAAAGGATTGAGATCGGGTGAGTTAGACGATTAAATATCTTCCTCCAGCAATCTGGAAGATTTGTCTCATACCACTGCAGTGTCTTCTTTGCGCTGTGGGCGAAGTCCAATCTCGCTGAAAGGTCCAGTCAATGTTTTTTGCATATTCTCTGGCCTATGGAATCACAGTAGCCTCCAAGATTTGTTCTCGATATGTTTTGCCATTAATTTTAACTCCCTTTTGAACATGTCCAGACCCCAATTTCGGCCTATATCATCACGGACTGCAGAAGGTGGGTTTTTTCAGTCTTAACAACTCTTTGCGTTCCTTCTAGCCGTAGTTCCCGTTGGTTCTGTGCATTTCGGAGTGGTTCCACGGTGAATATCTTCTCATCCGTGAAGAGCCGATTAAGCTTGTCACGGCGCGTAAGGATCTTCGTTTTTTTGCATTTTGCCAATCTTGAGGTCTTCATTTCGTCCTTAATGCGTTGTCTTTGACGAATTTGTAAGGATACAACATGAGATCATCTCTGATCAGTCTCTGCATAGTAAAATGGCTTTCTTCATACTCTTTTGCCAATTATCTGACTTC